GAGAATTGTTCTTAATTCGAGCCGGTCAATGCATGTTTAAACATTTGCACCACGCAACATGAAACTTGCCAGTAAGTTGAAATAATATGTTTAATTAAGCACATAACATTTCAAGACCAAATACGAACGTTGAAAATAAAAGAAATTCTATTTGTTCGGCGCGAAGTTTGTTCTCGCGTTCCAAAGTCTATTTATTCGGCACCCTCATCGTCGCTCTTCTCAATTTCGAAATGGGAATAGGGTAAGTAGTGACGATGATATAGGGGCGAAGCAGAATCAATGCCCATGGCTTCGAGAGCTTTCTCGGTTTGTAGGGCCTTGATCCAGCCGTGCTTGAATCCACGATTTTCACATCGGCAGACCTCCTCGGCAAGGTCTCGTTTGCGTCTTTCTCTATCCCGACCCTCAGGCCGTCCTGAAACCCTTTTTCATAACCAAGGTCCGTTGGGTCACTCCCTCCTCAACGACCAATTTAGACTGACCGGCCGCCACCGACGCGCTCGTTTGAACATTCTTCAGTCCCGAAGCTCACGCTTAGCCTTTTCCGCTCGAATCTCCAGATTGCGATTCTTTTCGTCTTTTTTTTCTCTCTCACATCGCGCTTCGCGCAGACACATGCGACTTCGTAAGCAGTATATAGTCCTTTCACAGCCCTATGTATGCCGTCTCAAAATATTCGAAATCTTAACGTCCGACCATCGATTGTTGGACTTCCGGCGGGAAGATCTGTCGAGCGAACTCGACTACCACGCCTGGGTCTTTAATGATAGAATCCGCCTCCGTCATTGGTCTATTTCTCACAAAAACTGCAAAACTCAACGGTCATGGCGTCGCATCGGGCTCGATTCTCGGTTGCAGGCGCGGAGAATTTCCCCGTTGTTGCCTGTCCTTTCGGGGCGATCTGCTTCGACGACTAAGGGGCTGCTGTGTTTCCCGATCCGTGGACATCCTTCTTCTCATACGCATAGGCTCGCTACTGCGTCTCATTGCGGCGTCTAATTCAGCCAATCTTCGTCCTTCCTAAGTTGCCTGAATGGAAATAAGTAGGGCCTCTGGCGTGCACCCGTCCCATTTATCCTTCAATGTATGCAGCTCTCCCGAGGCAACGTCAGTAACCCCAAACGTCAAAAGACGGATGACCATTGTCCAGCAATCTGTGCCTCAACCAGCCCACGAGTTAGGCCCATTCGGCTTCCCAAGCTCGCGCCCTGGCTAAGGCAAGAGCAGATTTACTAATCTGGTCGGCCATGTTTTCAAGCGCAAGCGTCGATCAATCTGTGACTCAGTAAGCCCACGACTTCCCAAGATTCGGCTTCCCAAGCTCGCACCCTGGCTAAGGCAAGGGCAGATTTACTAATCTGGTCGGCCATGTTTTCAAGCGCAAGCGTCGATCAATCTGTGACTCAGTAAGCCCACGAGTTAGGCCCATTCGGCTTCCCAAGCTCGCACCCTGGCTAAGGCAAGGACAGATTTACTAATCTAGTCGGTCAAGTTTTCAAGCGCAAGCGCCGATCAATCTGTGCCTCAGCCAGCCCACGAGTTAGGCCCATTCGGCTTTGTAAGCTCGCGCTCTGGCTAAGGCAAGGGCAGATTTACTAATCTGGTCGGCCAAATACCTAAGCTAAGCAGCCGATCTAACCATAACCGAAAGCAATATCATTCATCAACAACATTTTCCTTAACAAGTTGAGCACAACTCATGAAATTTTATATACGCAAATTACTAAACAAAAAGTTACAAGCCCGCATGAAAATGCCTAGCAAAAAAAACTATGACTGTAGCAACACATGAAAAATACCAAATTAAAAACTGTAAAAATACATTCGACATCCTAAGAACTATGTCAGTCGCCCAGATCAGGCATCAGAATCAGACTCCAATGGCTCAACATCCACTTGCTCATACGGTATTGGCATAATCAATGAAACTTTAGCAGCAGCAAGGGCTTTGTGCCAGCCATGTTTAAATCCCCGATTTTCAAACTTGGGGACTTGGTCCAAATACTCGGCGAGTCCAGCATTTTTCCCGGCCTCGAATACTTTGGAAGCCTCCAAGTCTATTGTTTCCTTCGCCGCCTTCATTTCAGCCAACTCAGCCTCCAGTTTAGAGACCGTCTTCTGGGCCAATTTGAGCGCATCTTCGCTCGCGTCCGCCTCCTTCTCGGCATCCGATCTCAATTGATCCACGCTACGAGCCCTCTTCACCTCGGCGTCGGCCCTTGAGGCTTCCTTGTTCGCCCTCAAAGCTTCGACCTCAGCCCTTCTCCTCTGGCCCTCAACTTTCTTTCGTAAACGACCAATCTATTTGACGGCGTCGCGATGGCGACGGCCCATATTGGCTATCCTTCCGACGGTCTGCAAAACAAGAATTTAAAACCATAACTTCAACAGTATTTGGATTAAGTGAAGCAAAATCCGAATATGTACCAAAAGTGCCGATTGGGCGGCTAGTGTTGTCGCATTCAAATCTGGTTCCTTCCGGAAAGCCTCCCTGTCAGACGGCAACGACACGGACGTAGCCAAGCTGAATGCGACTTCTGGATCTTTAAGCGCCGAAGCATCAGAAGAAATCGGCATGTTTTTTTATCATCGGCTGAATGACAAAAGGAACGATCACATTCGATCCCTTTAATCGAGGACGTTTGCCGCCTTGTTCTTCTGAGCTGGCCTCAAACTCGGCAGGGTGTTTCTCTGCCTCTTCCTCAACTTCTTGGCCGACCTGCACGATCAAAGTGGATTCAACATTCTGATTTTTTGCCGTCTCCCCCTCAATAACGCACAAGGACTCTGATTCACTAACAGGCAGGGAGAGTTGAGATTCGGTGGCGGGTGGTACTTCAGACGGAAAGGCCTCCGCTCTTCGCCGCGCGGCCAACCTTTCCGCATTCGCCTTCCTGGCAAGTATTGTCAGGCTTAACTCAGCCATTTCTTCGGGGCCTGCGGCGGGAAGATCCTCTAAGCTGTGAAAAACGCCGTCAAGTGAAAGATCCCCTCGGCCCGAAGTGGATGGAGGATCGGCCGAATTCAATACCTTGTCAGACTCAATTTCGTACTGATCTGATTCGGTAACATTAGCTACATCTCGCTCCGAATCAGACCCTTCAAAACCAACTTGCCTCAAGTTTTTGAAGTCGGATAAAATAAGAGCGATAAGAGAATCTTCACCCTCCGGAACCGGGATATTTTCCGCCGCCGAGAAGGTCGTATATGTCGGCTCGTAACGAAACAGAACGTGGGCCGCCCTCCCTTGTTTCTGAAGACTTCGATGGCCGAAATACATGAGCACGACTTTGATATCCGAAAGAACAGCGTCGTCAGTCGAAGATAGGACTTTCTTCGAATCGTTCCCTGCATAAGCCAAACCATAACATTTCAAAGAAAAGACTTTACAACAAAAATGAACAAATAATAAAAGCGAGAAGGCAACCGGCCACCTGGCTCGCCCCTCCTTCTAGGAATAGGGTTGACGTGATCCTCCCCTTCGCCAAATTCCTAGTTACCCTGGACAACGACCATAACATCATCAACTCGTTTCCCAGAACTGGAAAGCATAGTAATTAGCTGATGGTTGATATCCTTGGCCCTAAGGAAGAAACGCCCGTGCCGACTAGAAGACTTAGCCAAGGCATAGCAATGTCGGATGGCTGGAATGCCAAGGTTAATTCTAAGGCGACGGTTGAGCGCTATAACCCCCATTATAATTCTAAAGAAATTCACATTGAATTGGGAAGGGATTAAACCCCAATGGCGAAGCACAGCCCTAAGAAACGAGTGAAGGAGAAAACGGACTCCACCCTCTGCGATTGACAAAAGAGGAAAGACAATCGTGGTTTTGTCCTCCCTCTCCATATCAAGAGTGTTGTCTGCCACAAACGACAGACGGACATCATCAGGAATGGAGAAATGGCGTTTAAAGCCAGCAATTCGATCTGACGAGAGAAGGTCTTTTAAATGTTTCGCCATACCCTACAGTTTATAAGAATATGCCAAGGAAAGAATAAACCAGAAAGAGTCTTCGAAACAAGGAATGAGAGAATTTACAAAGGACGAAGAGGATATCGGAGAAGAGAGTTGCAGGGACGATTCAAAAGGCAATCCATCGACGAGCGTCATAAAATACATACTCGAAAGGACGTCAAAATTTTAAATCGCAATAAATAGACACGTACGAGGGGGCGGGAAGTCGACACGACAAATGAAAGGGGTGCGCTAAGATATCCGCATGAGGATGAGGCCAACCGCCGAATTTTGGCTCTGACTTTTCGAAATTCGGAACCAAGCACTTCAGCCAAACTGTCGTTGGTAAAGTGCTTGGGGGGCAATTATGGGAGCCGAATAAATAGAAGAGTCAGAAGGTACGTACCCCAGAAATCAGATATTATTCGGCTCCATGTTGCGTGACTAGGATGTCGAATACGTTAGGAAGGCCGAATAGTCGGAGATCAGTAGCTCCGAATAAATAAAAGGGGAATGGGATAAAAGTAGGCTCAGGCCCCGAGGCCCAAAAAGCAAGTATAAATACAAGAACCACAGATTTAGAAAGGTATGTAAGAATCACTTCACTTAACTTTAGTAAACAAGCTATCCTGAGTGTTTGAACTGATTTGTCCGTCGGAGTGCTAATTCCGGCACCCCCGACCGGAGTGTTTGTATCTTTTCAGGTGACTAGTTGAGGATCACTAGCGTCTCCTAGGATCTGAAGAGTATTTCCAAACCACTTCCCCACAACTGAGACCACTGATTTATAAATCAAAAATTTACCAAACAAGTTTTTATTTGAGTTTTTAAAATTTTTGTAAATATAAACAGAAAATTGAAAACGTAATTGTTGTCAAACGGCACCTAAAAATTCAAATTTTGAGCGCTTTTGTGAGTATTTTTTTTTAAGTGCATAGCATTTCTGATAGACACTTATTTACACATGTATTCTATACATATAATTTTATGTTCATGTTATTTGTTTAAAGCTAATAAGGACTCAATTTTGCCAATATTACCAGTTCCTCTATATTAAGGTGTTTAGTGGAGAAGGGGGACATTAATGGAGGAAGCAATGATCAGGCTGAGGATGATTATGTTGGCAATTCACTGGCATTGGTACCAATTGATTTGCAAAAAGCAACAACACAACCCATTGATCCACCAATTGTTAATGCAAGTGTTAAAGAAGTTCTTGATGCTCTAAGGCATGCCAGAGAAAAGCTTCGGTGGTCAATGGAAAGAAGACATATCCTTCAAGCTGGCTCCAAATAATAACAATAATTATTATTTTAATGTTCAAAAAAGCTAACTGCTCAAATTTTACTTAGAAAAATAATGAATGGTTCAGATTTAATTCTTATATGATTAAATTTATATCAAAAATGAATTTGGATCACAATTTTCCTATTAATTTCTTGATAGAAATTTTGAGTATGTAGTCCATTGAAGAACCTATAGGCAGAGAGCCAGTGCATGTTTGTATTGTGAAAGTGGCTGAATTGATGAATTGCATTGACGTGAGTCTTTTGGGTTATGATAAACATGGTTCAATTATGCTTTGACCCCAATTCTAACTTTCAATTATAGGTGTGTGTTTTATTATTATTATTTTTATGAGAAACCTCTCCAAGTTTCTACATGGAACTTACTTACCCCTACAGAGTAAAAATCATATATCCATACATTTATCAATTAAGACTGGGAGCAAAATCAGGAGTTGTTGAGTTAATTACTGAATAAGTTCTTAATTGTTGAATTACAAAACTCTATGATTTGTTCTTACTTTGTTTCTGTTAGAAAATTTTAAAAGGGAATGGGAATTGATTCCATTTGAATGAAATGATTCAATCCTTCATAGTGTCTATTCGTATGAAATGTGAACCCAAAAAAAATGACCATTCTAAAGGTCACGAGTAATTCTATAAATACCACTACATCCTATGACATTGATGCAAGTTAAGGTTTGTTTTAGGATTCATACATTATGTCTAGTCGAGAATATAAGAGAGAGTGCATAGCACAAATTGATTCTCTATATACACAGAAAGTTGTGCAATTTCTGTATGGGGTGATCGTTGTATCTTTGAACCAGAACGTCTATTAATCGCAAGCACCAGATATGGGGACGAAATTCTGTTTTAAGGACACAATGTTCAAACACTGGTCTCGGTCACAAACTGTTCTAATTTTTGTAGAATTTCTATAAGAAATTTCTTATGTTCTATTTCATTATTTATTTACATTAAATTGATTTTCGGAAAAATATTTTCTTAAAATTTTAAGAAAGAATTTCAATCTGTTCGCAGTTTCTATGTGTGCATATTCTGTAATACAGATTTAGTATTTTTCGGTTAAAAATTAATTTTTTGCATATTATTTTCCTGCATAATGTGTTTCTTGTTTACAAACTCCCAATATTCTTTACTATTTTTCCTTTTACCAATGATTTTACTATGATTTTTTTTCAATAGGACTTGATGGAAATTAAGTCCAAGTATTAGGACCTATTGGTAGTTTACCCTTAATTTTAGATATTGGAGTGACATAGAGTAACAGTAAGTCTCAATGTAATCAAAGACTTAATACCATAAGACATTTGCTCTCAGTTATGAATATTGTCTAAGGATAATATAATGAATCCACTAAGTACTCAATGATATATAACTGAGAAGGTTAAACGAAAAATAGCGGCTACTAAACAAAAAATTTGACTAGAAAACAAATGACGGAAAGTTCATTGAGGGGAATGTGATTAAGACCTATTAATTTTGAGTAGCCATAATGGCAACCCAACCTACCTGACTGAAGATCCCAAGATCTAAATTCAAAAGGACAACCGAATTATGGATGATTCACCAAAAATTACTAAGTGAGTCTATCTCCTATCCATTCCTATGATGAGGGTGATACCTGCAGTATGTGTTGTATGCAAGGAACTTAGGATAAGTTATGCTTCTAATTATTACTTATATTTTGAAAAACCTAGAGCGATATCTTTCAAGAGGAGTTTTTTAAGAGACTCGAAATAAGAATTACCTATATGACTGTGAAGGGAGCATTTCTATGAAAATTGAATAAGGCTAAATTCTCTAAAACACTCATGAAAATTAAGAATTGCCCAAGGCCAAAACAAGCACAACTGAAAGAACCAATATGTGTTTGGAAATATTTTATGTGAATTCTATTGTATTGGCTTACATAAACGGCTGAATAGTTCAAGATATCACGTCTACTGATTAGCTAGTAAGTCTGATAGTCTTTCATTAAGGAAAGCTCAAAACCAAAAGCTACATATCCTGATGCAAGATATTTTCATTTTCTACTTTCTTTGTCAGTGTCTACATTTCATTTGCATTGTGTCGTCAATTTCATTCATGTGAGAGATTGCTAGAAAATTTTAACTCCATTCGAATAAAATGATGCAATTCTTCATAGTGTCTATTCATATGAAAATGTGTGAACCCAAAAAATATGACCATTCTAAAGGTCACGATTACTTCTATAAATACCATCATATCCCATGGCATCGATGCATAAATTAAGGGTTATTTTAGGATTCATACATTATGTCTAGTCGAATATATAAGAGAAAGTGCATGGCACAAATTAGTTCGCTATACACACATAAAGTTGTACAATTTCTGTGTAGGGTGATCGTTGTACCCTAGAGGTAAGACATCCATTAATCGCAAGCACCAGAAGCAAGGGTGAAATTTTGTCTTAAAGACAGTATGCAAACACTGGCTTCGATCACAAACTATTCTAACTTTTATACAATTTCTATAATAAATTTCTTATATTCTATTTTATTATTTATTTACATTAAATTAATTTTCTGAAAATATTTTCTTACAATTCCCATCTCCAAGTTTAATTTGTTCTTAATTGCTGAATTACAAAAGCTCTATGATGTTGTTGAATTTATTTGATTTGCATTTTGGGTTATATGCTTTGCAAGATAATACTAAAAGGGGTAAATTACACCGGTAATTCTTATATTTTATTCCTTGTGTCATTTGCTCCTTATATTTTTAATTTATTTAATTTTGACCTTTAATTTTAAATTTTGTGTCAATTAATCAAGTGATAACGTTGTTAGTATTTTTGACGGAAAATTATAACTGGATTAGTAAGGTTAACTCATTAAAGTTAAGCAAATTTATAATTGTATCCCTAAAAGAATGACATATGTCATTTATGTGTATATTTTTCATTAAAAATTCTAACAATTGTAATCAATTAGATTAAATTGAGGCGATCATAAATTTAAAATCAAAATCGAGTCAATTGAAATTACAATAATTAAAATGACACAAAAATCAAACTACCGACATAATTTGTTGTAGTAAAAATCAAAAGCAACGATGGTATTTTGTCAGAAGTCCATATACTTGTATTTTTTATCCAACTCCATGCCCGTGGAACTCTCATTATGCTAAATAAGCTCCTATTTAGGGCTGAAACTGTAAACACCAGGTTTATGAATTCGAAATGCATTTGGATTTGTGGACTTGAAATCAATGAATTCAACATCACTAATATTAACACTTTGTTTATGGAAATGCAAGTGGAATTACCCACTTGAAATTGACTGGCTAATTTAAGTAATATTTGTACCCAGTTTGGCTTCCTTTTTAAGGGTAAACATACTTTCTTTGTTTTGGGTTTTGCTTAGTTGAGTCTATGTGTATGATTCAATGTTTCTTCAATTCAATGTTATATTGTAGATCCAGATTTTATGATTGAATTTGATAGTTTTATTTAAAATTACTTGGTGAAGATAACAATTAATTTGCTCTCAAAATATTAGTTGCTTATTTTATTTTTCATTATCTCAAAATATTAGTTCATTTTCAAAAATCAAAAATTAAAATAATATGAATTTCTTATTTTCTCCTTTTTAAAAATTTATTAACAATACAAAAAGAATAATGACAATTGATATTTCCCAAAAAATATACTATCAAAGAATAGTTTTGGAAAATCAATATTTTTGAAGTGTAATAATTATACTACTAAAAAAAATATTATTTTAGGAGGAGGGAGTAATAAAAATCATTTAATAAAAGATTTTAGAGTAAATTATAAATACATCTTCTGAGATTTGCTTAAAATATGAATTGTCTCTGTGGTTTGGAAAATTACAAATACCTCCATGTCAGAATTTTTTATTTAATAGAATTAATTAAAAAAGTGAAATTTCTAACTGTTCGCCTATACAATAATAAAATTATCTGAATTAATAATTGAAATAAAATTTTAAAATTATTAAAAACTGTTAATTAATTTGATGACTTACCTATTTGTTATGAAATTAGAAACCTTAAAAAATATAATGTAATTTCTAGAATCGCAAAAAATAATTTATAATTTAGGTAAAATTATTTGTAATTTATCTAAAATTTTATTTGTACAAAAATCTTGACAAGACACAAAATAGTCCAATTGTGTAGGGGGAGTGCACCATTAAATTTATGACCATTAAATTCTTTAAAAAAAATCTTAAAATTCATGACCAAGAACTTAGGTTTTGTTTGAAATATGCAATTTAAGTATACTTTTTATCTTTTTAATTTTTTGAATCACATTATCTTTCTATTTTTATACATATTTTTTTATAAAAAATTTAAAAGTATAATTATTTAAATCATCTCAAATAATCATGTACTGTATTGTATCTCTTCAAAAATATCTCAACAAAAAGTGTCTATTTTAGCTTTATTCAATCCTCAACTTTAAAATTATTAATCCATCTTTTATAAAGAGTAATGTTATATAAACAAATTTTCTTAATGTGCCATACATTAAATTTAATCATATTAGTATTTGAATTTTTGTAAGGGAAAAATAAGACCTACAAAGTTGTTGAAGAAATTAAAAAATAAATGAAGGACGCCCATAAATTTGTAAAATAGCATATTGTTAGTGGCCTAGTCGACATATGCCAGACAGGGACTCTGATACTAAGGCCAAGTTTGGGAAGTCCCAAATAATTCATCTTTTTATTTTTTTATTTTTTTTCCATCACATCACCTCTCTACTTTTCTGCACATCTTTTCGTAAAAAGACAAAAAGTGCACTTATTTAGGTCATTCCAAACAACCCCTAAAATTAGCTCCACTCGTTTATGTTTTGTTTGCCAATTATATATTTTAGGGCAAATTACATATACACCCCTCCAGGTTTGGTTAAATTACAGATACCCCCCTGAGGTTTCGGAAATTACATCCCGCCCCCTGAGGTTTGTATTTTCATAACAATTTACCCCCTGAGGTTTATATTTCATAACAAATTACCCCCTAATTTCTTATGCAAATATAGCATTCAGGGGGAATTCGTAATTTCTCAAACCTCAGGGGGGTATCTGTAATTTTGTCAAACCTGGAGGGGTGTATATGTAATTTGCCCTATATTTTAATTAAAAAGTCATCATAAATTATCACATTACTCTCTCTATTTTTTTGTACATCTTTTTATAAAAAATTAAAAAATTACTAAAATAGTTTATTCCTGTTAGGCTTATTTATTTTGATAATTTATTTAATTATATTTTAATTTATTTGGAAGAGAAAAATAGAATCAAAATTTATTTTACTATTTCTTACTAAACTTTTATCCTAAATAATGTTATAAT